TGCACTTCGGTCCAACACAAAATCGAATCCGGCTCCTCCGAGAGGCGCAGCCGCCCTCCCTTACAAGTCGTATTCGGTCTCGACGGGGGCAATCTTCATGAGGGTGGACTTCAGAGGATAATAGCGCCCCCTCCAGGTCTTCCAAAACATGCCCTGCTTCCTCTCGTGCCTCTGGCGTGGGATGTTCTGGAAATACCTCCCGTTCAGATTGGACCGGCCACAGTTGCTGAACCACCAGCCACCTGCAGGGGGAGACCAGCGAGAAAACAGACTCAGGCCCAGCACTTCAAGAGCCATCCTGTATGTAGGCTTTGCTTAAATCCCCAGCAACTGCAAGGTTATCGTATACTTCAGGCATTTGCTAAGAAACAGATATTTTGTACCATTTTAACAAATGCAACGTTTCGGCTATGAATCCTTCACAGCCGAAACATTATGTTTTCTCTCTTCTCTTTTCAGCATGGAATTACTTGCTCCTTTGCAGACTACGCATGCTGACGCAGCTCCCCACCGGAACCATTTTAACAAATGCTGTCTTTCCTGTGATCCATTTATACCCTATTTAACAGACATTTGGGGGTTGTAATTTTTAAAAAAAACTCTAATGTCGAAGCAGGAACCCTAAAGGTGACTCTTGGCATTCTTGGAAGACATCGCTTTGCGATTGCTAACCCTCCACCTCGTCCCCTTCCTGCTCGGTCACTTTTAAGTAGCCTGAATGGTTGAAAGCCATAGCAAGGAGACTCACCGGTGAGGTGCTTGGCGCAGTTCATGTCCAGCTTGCTGTCGTTGTCTCTGTCTTGGGTGGAGAACGGCAGGCCAGAGGGCTCGCTGCTCAGTGCGCTCTCCACGCTTCCCAGTGGCCGCTCCTGAAGGTGGAGGGAGTAGTTGGTCCCTTCCCCGTCTAGTTGGAAGGGGAGCTGGATGCTCTGCGCTTTGTCGTCCCAGTCTGTCAGCTCCACGTGCAGGACATAACTTCCTTGCTTTGACAAGGCGTGAATCTTCTCCAGTCCCAGCCAGAATTCACCTGGAAGGAGGGGAAGGAATCCAAAGAACAGCTTAGACTCTAGTCTATCAGAACATGTGTCACCGAAGGTAATGAAATGTGATGTAACATCCATTTGCTTATTTGGGAAAACACAAGGAAGAGAATGTCTATATGGGGCACCCTAAGCTCTGTCTGTCAAAAGCCATGATTAAAATGTCACCTAACATGTGGATTACAGACCAGGAAGATCTCATTAAATGGTGAGATAAGCATGACGCTTAGCAGCAAAGACGCATTTACAAGGATTTATGACATCTTTGGAACGGATTTGATTTCTCTGAAAGTGCTGGGCTTATGGTAATGTCCCTTGTTTCTATGTTTGGGGTTCATTTATGCAACTGCTTCAGACAAGCTCATGGAGATCTCTTCTGCTGTCACGTCTCTCGGAATGTGGGAGGCCAGTGCGATCCTCTAATTTACAAGGAAAATTGGGGCTGTTTTATTTACCATCCAGACTGCCGAAGCCATTCTTGTAGGCCTGCCAGGGTTGATCAAAATCCACTGAGCCATCCTGACGCCTTTGAACAACTGTCTGTCCACCTTCTGTTGGGGAAGAGAGAAGCAGGCACAGGGATCAGCTGAGGCGTTTGCTTACTGATGTCACAGGCATTACTGGATATGACTGAAAATAACTTACTCCACAAAACACAACTTTGCTTTCTGTCCATTAAAAAAAATGATTTTGGATTGCTTTATAGGAATTTATAGATGCTCTGACTTAATAAGGCTTTGCGATTAGGTATGTCCTTTCCAACACAAGGTGGAGACATTAAAATGCTATCTGCTTATGTACTCCAGGATCTGTTGTTTTTTCCTTCAAAGAAAAAGCAGAAAGCTCCCTCCCCATCTATTGCATCGGTTTCTACACTTCTGCTATCTCTTCTCATGCAGGTTTGACTCACCAGCTGTCATTTCACAGTAGACCTGGAAGGGCTGAGAGTTGATAGGCTGGACAGTGTAGACCCCACTTCTTCTCTCTCCCCTCAGGAACAGCACGTGACAGTCAGAGGCCATGTCTGCAACAAGAATGAAAAGACCAGTAAATTCACATGGCTGCTTATTAAAGGTAAGCATAATAGATCATCGTTGTTTTCCTTTCTAAGCTACTACAAAGGTCAACTTTTTACACTTTGAGCGCTGTTATTTCAGTAAATAACGAGGGGTGGATATAATCAATCATATTTTTTTTTACCTCATTAGTACTTTAAATTACACTAAACCTTAGGTTTAACGGACTTTGGATTTAAAGGACAGAAATCTCTTAAAAGGGAATTTGTGTCCGTAAAATCGGAAATACCGGAGTTTCCCTGCAATAACAATGAGATGCACAAAAAAACAAAACAAAAAGTCAAAATAAATACCACTGAGTTTGAAATTCAGGAATATCAATGTGGTAGGTGGTAGTGGTAGTCCAAGTGCTTATGATGTGTGTTGTTTCGTGTGCTTTACCAAAGTTTATACCTTAATTTATGCCATTTGAAATAATGAGTTTCTGTAATGATGAAATTCACGGGAAAACATTTTACTCACTGTGTTGATTGCAATTGTTAAAAATAAGTCAAAAGATCCAGAAAGCTTATATAGAATATATCTTTCTTTTCTATCATATTCTGCAATGATAGACACCCTTTCCTTCTTTTTATCTGATAAACCAAGGGTTTCACTGTAATGTTTATTTACATAAATCAGGACAAACACAATACTTTTAATCTGATATCATTACGAGAAAGCTAAGTGGAATCATCCTGAAACCCATACATTTCTACTCCAACTAGTAACTATATTATTAATGTGCTTTCGTTTGAGCTTTGAGGAGAGTAAATATTTAAACAGTGTTTACTGGGGGAAAAAAAACAACAGATAAAGTCGAAACCCTGGTTTCAGCTCTATGACCTCCTAGAACTTTGTACTTTCCAGAAGAAAGACTGCCAGCATCAAGCTTGTCTGTGGACCCAGGGCCAAAGTCCTGTTTTTATTGTCACTGAAAACCAAAACACAGGCTCCCTGATGTCAGAAGATGGTTAAATATTTCACACATTCTTCAGCAGAACAGTGTGTGTGTTGAGAGGAGAAAGGGTTGAGCAGGCTGTGATGAACTTTCACCTAAATTCTGGTCTGGCTTGGGACTAGTAAAAAAAACAAGCATTCCCCACCCTTTATTACCACATGGTTAGCCACTCTGTTTCTAACTCTTCTGACATTTCTGAACTCATCGCCAGGAGCTGTGAAGATGTGGTTCTGTGACTGAACAGGCAGAGTTGTCTTTTTAATGTTTCGCCACCCACTCAGAATCCAGAAACGCAAAACCGCCTCCCGTGATGTAATGGGGTGTATCTGTGTCTCTTCGGGTTTTACTTATCTCCTTTCTGTAGATTGAACTGGAACGGGCTGCTGGATGCACTGCGGGGCCTTTGTGTTAAGCAGGCCTTTGGGATTCCTGCTATTGTGCTAAGGTGCCCAGAACTGCGCACAAGTTAACTTTGCTGAACACCGAAGGCCATGCAGCCTAAACTCAGGAGCGTCTTGTAGTAAACATGACCTTTATCCTAGTTCTGGTGCAGGCTGCTCTATGCCAGTCTGTGCTGCCTCATACAGAGGCCCCTCAGTATTCCTCGCAGACTCTGACACCTGGCCTCCCTCCCCTGTCAGCCACGCCAAGCTCACGTGTACACTTGTCAGGCTCTTACACTTATACTGTGTGGCCTTGGAGTGCACAAGAAGGAATTGCTAGACAGAGCAGGGCCGCAAGACCTTCAAGAAGAGAAAACATGTGCTGCCTATGGGCTTCTGTCTATCGGAGTGTTTATATATAGATACAGACCCACTCACTTAGAGTCTGTGGAACAACAATTACTACTGACATACACTCATTTGCAAAAAAGGTTAAACAGTCTGTAAACTCTGGTACATACACACTACATACAAAGGCAGATGTCTGACTTAAAATCAAATCTCCCCAGATGTAAGATGAAGATAGAGGGGTAGCAGTGAACTGTGTATAAAATAAGCAATTATAAGACAAAGAGTAGTGTGTATTGGGGGGGGCAGTTCAACTTTCACATACTTCTCATTGTAACAGCTGGGATAGAGCTGTTAGGTTTGGGGGGGGGGGGGGTTGTCTGGCTCTGACAGAACTAGGAGAAAGGTTATCCATCCTTGAGGAATGGAGAATATGTGTGTTTATGCGCAGAGAGGGTGAGAAGGCAGGGGAGGGAGACTAGTGTCTTCGGAAAAACAAAGGGAAGTCTGTACAAAGTTCACGAGCTTAAATTAAAGCGCTCCCTCCTCTCTGGCAGCCCGGCTCTTCTTGGGCTTGGCTCAGACCCACGTTCCCTTCCCAGGCAACTTGTAGCTAACCCCCCCTTCCCCCACCTTCAAGCCCTCTGCCCGTCCAAGTTTTAAACAACTCCTTCTGTTCCGAGTCCACTAGAGTGCTTAGCAGACAGCCCGAGTTGTGTGAACTCTCCCCTACTTGGTCTGGTGCCAAAAAGAGACTTTTGCAAAATTCTTCAGAATCCATCTGACGTCACAGTGTGGGGATTCTGCATCAGGAGCTGCTTGTTTAAGACTTTTAGCCATTTTCTTTGCTTTTGGCCAGAGCATCACCCTTCACCCAGTTACTGTAAGGAACTGAAAAACAACAGGACCTTAACCACACTCCTGTGTTGTTGTTGTTGTTGTTTGTTTAATCTTGTAAATAGCAACTCAAAAATACAGATTAGCTCCAGCTCGTCTGGAGCATTTTAGATCTGCGATGTGTTAATGGATTTTGATTGTCCCCCCCCTCCCCCCCAAAAAAAAATGAATTCTAATTTTCTGTTTTACTCATGAAATCCATTGTAATACTTTAAGTCCTACTGACCTGCCAAGCAACAGGACTTTAATCAAAGTGTTGTCTGATATAGAGTCAAATGATTAACAAACTGAATAACACCCCCAACAGGACATCAGTCATGGACTCTGAATGTAGACTGCAATTATAAATATTTCAAGAAAAATACAAAGGAAATCCTCACCACTAATCTACCCCCCGACGCTCCTAGACTCTTAAGTTCATTGATCATCTACCTGCCTTTCTGATCCCATTAATGAAAGAAACGGATCCTATTCAAAGACCCCACAAACAGAACAAAATCACTAACATGTTACTTTAAAGAATTAACATACAGTATATATAAATGAGAGAGAGTTTTCTGGTAAGAAATGGATTTGGAAGGATGCGTCTCCAGACAGAGTGTGAACTGATAGCCGAGTCTGCATGACTTCCAGTTCAGGTCAGCTCACTCCGCTATAAAAAAGGGAAAGAATCGGTTCTGCTAATTCACTACAGATACCGCCCCCCTCTTTGTTCTGTAAAACTGGAATCTGCCCCCCCCCCCCGCCTTGACTCAGCCCCGGACTGAACCTTCCATCCAGCTCTGAACTTTCCTCTACTTGGCGACTCACCAAGTTTCAAGATCCTGTTAAATCCAGACGGTATTTTACCAAACGGAAATGCATAGACGGGTGTTTTCACATCTGGTACATCCAGGTTTTTAAATGCTCTGTTTCTGACGCTAACCCCCGGGAGCCGTCTGTGAAGCACGATCTTGCTTCGCTCAGCCCAACTTACCGGCAGGGGAGTCGGCTTGCTCGGTGCTGGCGTCCCGCGCCACTTCCACCACTTTGCGCTTGAGGAAGCTTCTGAGGCCGGGACTCGCCGCTCTGCCCTGATCGATCTGCACACCAAGCAACGTCGTGTTAGGGAAGTCTGGTAGCGCTCGGAGGCTGATTGAAGCCTATAAACTCACTTTTCCTTGACCACCGCGATATTCATTTTAGGTTTCGCGTTCGGTGACGCACTGTTAGGGTTTACCAACACCACTAATCAAACAAAAACGTAGGACTGAGTCTTTACACCGGACAAGTATGTTTCAGGAAAACGCCGGATGCCACTTAAATTGCAAGACGAGACAGCTGCAACCGCAGTGCCTGTGCATCCTACCTGGTTCTGCAGGTTCCGGATTCGGATGTTCTGCTTGTCCAGCTTGTCCTGCTGTTGTCTGATCCTTTCCACCAGATCATCGATGCGCTGGTTCTGCGCTTCCACCACCGACTGGAACAAGCAAAGTTTAAGCCTCGTTGAGTTTCACAGACGATATTTGCAAGGATTATGCTATATAACATTATTCTGTTTCAGGACAATAATGAAACATTAATCTGTTTTATCATGCCTTTTAATTGTTTCTCGGTCCTGGACAAGCTAATAAGTCGATACTTCAAGTAAGGCCGTTACCGTGTTATTGTACGTGCAAGTTCATTCCATTTTAAATGGGAGCTACACGGTTTTAGCAAAAACCCGAATCAAGTTCAAGGCTACAGTTTTCATTTCTTCCCACAATGACAATGAAAAGGTACACAGTGACATTACAAGCTTTTCTTTTTTTTTCTGTTGCTTCGTTCTGAGACAGGGAGCGATTTTGTTATATAATAGCGGAAAAGTCCCGAGCTCTCGCCCGGCTTGACCTTCCTCATCGCTTTTGTTGCAAAAGTCTGGGAAGCTCATCAGCCAGCGGTTTACGCCGTTCACAGTGAACATCGATAGAGCGGTTTCCTAAAAGGGACCAAAATAGATACGGAAATCGGAACACCCTTGTGGACGAACTGCTACGTTTCGCAATGTGTATTGCAAGAACCGAGACTGCTCCACAAACGAGAGAGAGAAGGTGTGTGAGGTGGACTGTGGCTGTTACTTGATCTGCTCTTGCGTGTTCTTTGTTTGGAGAGGCTTTGCCGATTCCAGTTTCCTGCACGTACTGCATGTTCAACTTGGCACTGACATCGTGCTTCAAATATCTTTGGAGCTACGCTCCGAGTCTGAGAGAGCTACGTGCCGAATTGAGCCTCTTTATGGTCATTTGTTTTACATTCGGTTACCTGTCCGACCCTTGACACGGTTAAAAGCAATTAAAAAAACAGCTTGGACCTCAAAGTTTGTTTTTAAGTGCCCTAAATCGATGTTAAATAAACAAGAGATTGATTTTGAAGGCTTTCCTATTATGCCATTTTCAGCCTATCGTTGTTCTCTCGCTCTTGACTGTGGATTTGTCGCTGCTTGTGTTTTTAAATTTCCCACCGAGCCGTGTTCGAAATTTACACCATTCTTCACATTACAAAATTGTAAAACGGATAAATAAAGGGTGTTTGGATGTTCCATCCAACTACTGCTTTGTTTCTAGACCCATGTAAGTTTAAAAAAGACATATTTTTAAAAATCGCTAGAATTTCCTTGCTTGCAAAAACAAACCCAACACATTAAGCCATTTTTACTAGAGGAAAAGAGTGGTCCAATAACACTACTGAACAGTTTGTTCTATCTCTTAAGGTCACAAATGAAGTCTGGTGGGCAGCTGGTTATAATAACATGACATCTGTATAAAAAAAAAACCCACTGGTTTAGAATAAGAAAAAAAGACATCTGTTACCAGAACCAGGAGAGTTCGGAGGATTGAGAGCTTTTATGAGGACTACTGTACGGTGTTCACTGTCTTATCACTTCTAAACCTTTGCTCTTGAGCATAAATGGCAAATCAATTTCAGTTGATCTTTGACGTGCATTTACTGTACTAAATATATGTTTTCCTCCTCTCTGAAGTCAGGTTTCCTTGCTACTTTGCTTCTAACAGCAGCAGAAAGCCCTAACCCTGCCCCCAGAAAACTCACCTGGATGATCCGGACATCACTGCCACTGGTACTGACGTTGGCGTTGCTGCTGCCTGGTCCCTGATCTCTCAGCAGCCCGCTCACTTTCTCTTCCAGCTGGCTCATCCTGTCCTGGACTTTCTGACTCTCTCTCTGCATCTTCCTTGCCTTCTCCCTCAGCTCGGCAGAGAGGCTGAGGACGGTGAGCTCGGTGTATTTCAGGCTCTGGGCGTCCGCGCCCAGGACCACGCTGTCCTCCTGCAGCTTCTGGGTCTGCCTGCCCAGCTCGGCCACCGTGCCGTTGAAGGACTTCAGCTTGGCGAAGATCTCCCGGATCTGGCCCTTGGTTTTGTCCACGTGCTCCTTGAGGCCGTGGCCCAGCTGCAGGAGCCCGTGGGCGATCACGTTGACATCGTCCCAGGCGGCGAACTGCGCCCTCTTCTCCTTCCCAGCTGTCCCTTTCCTCTCGAAGGTGGGGAAGGCAGCAGCTGACTCCAGCAGGATGGCTGTGCAGAGCACCAGGGCTGCTGCTGCAGTCTTCATCTTCACTGTCCTCTTTGGTTGCGTCTCTGTTTGGGAATAAGCACAAGTGCTTGCTCTCTCTTTGTTAGCTTGAGTCCTGTTCTGTAACTGCCTTGTTCAGTTGCCTTATATACGCTCAGTGCCCATAGCATAGCTTACTCCTGCATGCTTCCAGCTTGATTGGCTAGCAGTACAGGAGGGGGTGTGGTTCCTTCGGAGATCCTATCGGGTTTCCTACTGCCCTGGACGTTTAACTATTTCTGCTGGAAAGGTACAATGATGAGGATTTTGCCTTCATGTCTTATATCTAAAGTGCGATCACACAAGATGGTGAAATATAGGTGAGGTATACCCTTTTCACTACTGGCTTTTGGGGAGAGCTTCTCATTTCATGGAAATAAGAACCTGCAATCAGTGTTTGAAATAAAGCTTGGTACAATTCCAATTGGTTTTGTATATAATGGTTCAGTTACAGTATTTACAGCATATACAGGATTATGCAGTGTAATGGAGATACAGACAGAGTCTCAAGACACAGCACTATGAACAACAGAATAGCTGTAGATGTATGGAACAAATTTCATTTTGTATTTTGTGTGGATCTAAAGATTTTCTGGCTGTTACCGGTTAACAATAAAGGCAGCTTTCACTAAGACAGATTGTCCTAAAATGTAATTAGTTTGTGTCTTGGTATGACCTACACAAACAAATTCCAAGAATTGTTCATAAGAAACGAGTAAAATTCTCTAGATGCCTTGAAATGTGTCTTCAGGGATCGTTTTAAATGGCATTCTTAAGGATTACATGTTTTTGCAGTTGCAAGTCCTAAAGCAGCCAACACTTAAAACGATCTTGTGTTTCTCCTATTAGTAACACTATTGTTGCACATTGAGTAAAAGGAATTGTACAGCTGTAATAAATGACAGGATGTGTCATTCCATAAATGAAGAAAAAAATAGACTGAATTTTCTGAAAGGAGTCATATAAGAATAATAATTATTCTTAATCACTTTATGTGAAGTATCTATATTTACACCTATTAATACAGCTCGATATTTCACTGGAGTAATGTGAGTGAATATTTTAACTCAAGGGTACTACTGCAATGCCTCTTCTCTCAATGTAACCCACCATCTCCCCCTTACTGTATAGGGCAAGAGCACTGCAGTTTTAGAAGAAGCATCTTGAGGAAAAGTGACATTTTTTAGCTCTCTATGGCCATATTTGTGCAATGTCTGATTCCTGTAAGAGTGCAGTTTTGTCTCTGATGTGGTGAGCAGTGGGAGTATTTTTCTCATATTCTCTCTATTTTAACAAAGTACACTAAGGACACATAACACATGCGACAGGTGGGAGCTCACTCA